TATATATATATATATATATATATATATATATATATATATATATATATATATATATATATATATATATATATATATATATATATATATATATTGGAATATGTGAAATTCAACTAATTTAAAAACATTAAAAAATTAGAAACTAAGTTCATTTACTCGAGTTTCACGCCTATATTGGCGATCATCAGACTGCCTATATAGGCGTGAAACTCGAGTAAATGAACTTAGTTTCTAATTTTTTAATGCTTTTAAATTAGTTGAATTTCACATTCCAAAATATAATTCGCTGCACAATCTCTGTGTTGTGCACTCTAGCAAAGTGGACAAACGCAACTATATATATATATATATATATATATATATATATATATATATATATATATATATATATATATATATATATATATATATATATATATATATATATATATATATATATATATATATATATATATAATAACATTACGTGGAATACATTGTTTGACAATACGTCCAAGACACCAGCTAGCAGAGTCCTTGTCAAATTTTGAAAGTTTAACATTAATTATTCCAATTTCGTCACGTCGATATTTGAGCTCATTTCCATGACTCGACTGTAATGACCGAGATGCTTCGCTTAATCGAATAGCAGCGTTCTGTTATACGCTTGCTTCTTGGGAATACTGCTTTGACGTAATAAATATATTGCCGACCTTATACGCCTCCGTAAAATCTTTTACGGAGGCGTATGCAACTGCATGTAGCCCCGCATCCCATTGTGGTAATATATTCTTCGGAACGAAACATGCACATGCTACCTGAATCTATACCCATGAAAAAACCGCACCACATTTCAGACACTGATTCTAAATTTAAGATACCAGATATATGATTTGGACGCTTACACTCCAACAACAAAGTCCTAATTCGCCACATGCATTCCTTGTAGTATAGAGAGCAAGGAATTAAATAACGCTCTCGACAGTCTCGTACGGGAAACTCATTGGATACTCCCATTAATAATAGTTCGATTTATGCTAGGAATTAAGGCAGCCTCATGAATTATTCAACTCACTAGCTTCTAATTATTTGGAGCTTCTAATTCTTATACTCCCTCTTATAAACTATATATAGGCGGGAGGTGGGTACATTTTCGTGACACGCAGCCACACTGTAAATCTCATGGTGTTGCGGCAACACCAAAAAGTGTAACATTACACTAATTAGGTGTAACGCGGGATTAAACACCGTTCGAGTGTAACATTACACTTCCGCAGTGTAGCTTTACACTATTTTAATGTTTCGGTAACATTTACTAGGTGTAAAGTAGAAAATACCCTATTCACACCTAATTCGGTATAGATTTACATTAGATCGGTGTAATATTACCTCTTTTCCCTGTTAATTTACACTTTGCGACAGTGTAAATATACACTTATTCGGTGTAAAATATATGCCAACACTTGCGAAGTGTAAATTTACACTTTTCCAGGTGTACCATTACACCTAGAACGCGTTAAACTACACTGAGCTGAGGTGAAGTAGAAACTAATGTATTAACTATTATTGCACTGTAAATTTACCCTTAACAAGCGTAAATTTACCCAATTCTTGTGTATGGGATAACACCATGATGGTGTAAATATACACCGGTGTGGCGTAAAAATTACGAATGCTTACTTAGTGTAAATCTACAATGAACCTGGTGTATAATTACGCTAAGACCATTTTAAGATACACTGATCTGGTGTAAAATTAGCCTGCGTAGCAGGCGTTTAGTGCGGGCGGGAGAAGAAAGGGCGTCGTTAAATAAACGCCTGCTCAAATGCCTATGATTAATTTGTTCTTCTCCGAAGAATCTTCGGAAAAGCTTCCCATTGGTTAATCTCGTTAACGGAAGTAATTACGTAACTCAAATGTCAACAATAATTTTGCTCGCGTTTATAGTCGCGTATCAAAAATATGCCGCCTGTTAATGCTTTCGAGGAAACGTTCTTATATTTCAAGTATTTAGGCTTCGAAATTCAGTTGAACCAGAACAGAGAAAGTATATTATTAATTTGCTACGTGGTGAAGACGCCGGTTATCGCGATTCTTCCTAAGGGAGTGGTCATTATTTATGGGGAGGGGGGGGGGTTGGGAAATGGGGAAAATAAGGATTGAAAACTTTTTTGACCCCCACCCCTCCAGACTGAAGGCAAACTTTTTGTGCCTCCCCCTCATAAAAGTAGAAACTTTTCTGACACTCCCCCCCCCCAGTGTGGATTGAAAAATTAACAGCAATGAAACAGGTGTGCGTTGCAGGTAAAGTTAGATATTAGGACAATCTGCTTAATCTAGCTCATGATGTTTTACCCTGGTGAATATGATTCAACCATATATGATTAAAAAATATATATTATATGTGTTACTACTTTGCAATGCAACATTTGTCCTACCATAACTCTAACCCATGACCCATCTTCATACAGCGAAATGATTTGAACACAGGTTTTTTTTAAGAACTTGTCTGGGGGGTGGGCATCTACAAAAAGGGACCATACTATATTGAGTGTGGAGAGATGACAGATGGTTGTTGGTGACAAAAAGTTTGGTGTGGTATCGTTTGTACTAGTAGGGGGTCCACCCCTAGAAAACTGAAATGTGAGCATTTTCTGAAACAGATTTTTGGATATACAGCGTTACATTGTGCGTTGATAGATCGAATCTGATCAGTTAAGTGAACTGGGTCACTCAGGGGGTAGAAAGCTTGTTAAACTTAGTGGGCCCGACTCCCACGATCGCGAGGCGCTACCATGGTTGGCGCCGAGCAGGAAAATTTTGAGTCTCTAGAACGTTGGAAATAGCATTTTCAGAGTCTTCTTTTGTGCTATTTGTGATTATAGAAATCAGAACTCTAGACATGGTATTTAAGTTCAAAAACTTTTATGACCCCCCCTTTCTCTGTGTTAAAACTTTTTTGACCCCCCTATTTATAAGGGTAAAACTTCGTTTGCCCCCCCCCCTATTTCCCAACCCCCCATCCCCATAAATAATGACCACTCCCTAAGGAATACGGAAAAGTTTGATCTTTCAATTATACATTTTAAATATATCCTGAATATTTCTTTAATATAGTTGTCTTGTTATTTGTTCACTGTAATTCAAGAGGATCTTAATGGGGGTCTTTGGGTGTCAGTTGTCAGCATGGGCGTACCGGAAGGAAAAAATTAGGGGGGCGGAAAGAAAATTGCCCAACTTTTCGGGATTCTGCCCGACTAGTACCAAAAATTTTTTTCCGGAAAAATTATTTTGGCGACCTCCCCCCCGTCGCCAAAAATTTTTCGGTCAGTGTACCATTTTAGGGGTCAAAAAAATTTTCCGGACATACAATTTTTTCCCAACATAACACAAATTTTCGAAAAATCGCAAAATTGGCCACAAAATTAACTTGATTTTAGACAAAATTGACAGAATTTGTCCAATTTTTTTTATTGCAAACCAAAATTGCCCGACTGTTGATCGAATATTGCCCGACTGCCCAAAAAACTGGGGGGCTACCGCCCCCCCCCCCGCCCCCCCGCCCGGTACGCCTATGGTTGTCAGTGCGATATATTGCAAGCTGTCAGTAGTCAGTTACAGTTACTGCAAAATGCTGACTTATAATTTTTTTCATCATTTCTCAGTAGTCAGTTAGGATATTTTGTCAGTTGTCAGTCAAAAATTCAGGCAAATGTCTGTAGTCAGTTAACCCCATTCAGACCCTCAATTCAAGACCAGATAGTTGAGGCTATATCACTTGGCATTGCAGCTATGAGGCTGGATGATGATTTTAAGAATAACATTTCAAAACATGCTCAACTGTTATATTTGCTATACGGCAGAATACATTAAACAACCGTGGTTCAGGAGTCTTTTAAAAGATAAAAGCTCTGTGCACGTTGTGACTGACTGTTGTCTAAAATAGCTTCAAAAACTCATTAATAATTCATGAGGAAACCACAAAGAAAAATCATAAACGTGTCGTATCCTTGATATGTGATAGTGATTTCCCTTGATTTACAGAAATTTTTAATGATTTTCTCTACATATACACATCAAATTTTTTGAAAGCTACTTCGCCAATGAACGTATACTAGATCGATCGTTTTTGAAGCAATTTAAAACATTCGCAGTGCGTGTTTTATCAGACCATCTTTATATCTGATAAAACACTGCTGCTCGTGTTTTAAATAGTGCATAAAATCTCTGCAAATCTCCGTAGGTCTCCGTAGTTGCCGAGCAAAAAGCATGCATGATGCTAAATATAAATCTCGACTATGATTGGATAATTGGTGAAGGTGCTAATTACAAAACGTCAATCATCCTTAATTGGCGAAAACAAATTTGTCATAGCCATTTGGGCAGGCGTTTCCTCTGTACCCGCCCGTCAGCTAAACGCCTGCTACGCAGGCTAGTGTAAAATAGAAACCGAAGTATTAACACCTATTATGCTGTAAATTTACCCTCAAACGGTGTAAATTTAGCCAATTCTTGTGTATGAGATAACACCATGATAGTGTAAATATACACCGGTATGGTGTAAAAAATATGAATGCTTACTCTTCGTGCAAATCTACACTGAACCTGGTGTAAAATTACACTAGACCATTTTAAGATACACTGATCTGGTGTAAAGTAGAAAACGAAGTATTAACACCTATTATATGCTGTAAACTTACCCTAAAACGGTGTAAATTTACCTAGCTAATTCTGGTGTATGAGATAACACCATGATAATGTAAAGTGTAAACATACACCAGAATTCGAATAGTGCATGTAAAAGTTTGTATGCGGACCAAAATATACTGGCCGGCCTGCCCTTCACATTAAGGCTTTTTAAAAAAGCCGGTGTAAAGTAGAAAATATTTCATTTTACGACTACTTTTAAACGGTGTAAACTGTTAGCATTTCCTGCGTTTTGTAACAGGTTTTAACAGGTGGGAAAATTGTCGTCGCTGACCAAATTTATCGCGGACGCTTTCTTTTTGCCAGCAAAAATTGTGAAAACAACAAAAACACAGATTTCGCTACCCTGTTTCTCGTACTGCAACAAAGGAAAAGTAAAAAAAAGCTAGCAGACGTAAACTTTAATAAACGTTAATCAAGACCACAATAACTTGTCGCAATCGGGAAATTAGCAGTCAAGAATTCTTCGCTGAAACATGGCCGAAAATGACGTTTCTTGCAAAATGTGTATTTTTGATGGCAAATAACCTCGAGCAGGAACTTAATATTGATGGAATATTACTT